TTTTTTCCTCCCCCGGTTCGTCGCTTTGGTTGGCCATTCCCAATAAAGGCGTGGGTGAGGGGAGAAAAGAAAACCACGTTTTTAAAGGGATTTCGGGTTTTGCATGGCCAAGACGCCCCCGGCTTTGGGTTTGGGGGGGGGGGGGCCGGCCCCCAGGGGGCCACCCCCCCGTCCAAGTGGGGCCCATTGGTTTTTTTTTTTTTTTGGGGGGGGGGGGGGGGGGGGGGTGATGATGGAATCCCACCACTGGTTCAAGATGTTTTAGTGCAGTTTATGCATCCTCAGGGATTGATGGGAGGGGGGCCCTGTTGTTGGCAGCAGCATGTCAGACTTGACTGCAGCAAGGCCCAGCAACTGGCAGATTGGTAACAGAAAAAGGATTGCTTGGTTTAGCTGCCGTTGGTGCATCGCGCTAGGTTGGGGTTGGGTTTGGTGTCGGTGGAATCTGGCTCGGTGTTGATGAAGCCCCGGCCCCATCTTCGCCCTCCTGAAACCCGGACACACACCAAACCACATGCCACACCACACCCCATCCGTCTGCCCAGCTCAGGGGCAGCCGTTCATGACCATGCAGCAAGTAGTTAGTGCAGTAGCAGAGCGAGGAGTGTAGTGTGGGGCAACAGGAAGAGCAGCAGCAGCAGCAGATGCAGCTCAGCATCACACGAGTTTTCACCCCTCCCCTCCCCACCACCCATCATTCCTCATCCATTCCCCATCCATCCATCCATCTCCCCATCTGCAACGTGTCAAGCTCGTCAAGTCGAAAGAAAAAGTCACCAGTGAGCCAAAACCCACCCACCACCCCCCAGAATCGGGTGACAGTTCCCCAAACAGGACAAGCCGAGCAGACCGATCAGGAAATGAGACGCTGCACGGCATGTCCGTCAGCCAAACACCGCTGTGTCAGGTCTGCCCGGATCGGGGCAAGTGGGCAGGCAAGAGTCCGCCCCGTCAACCAAGCAAGCAGGCTCTTTTCTTTGTTTCCCCACCGGCCGGCACGGCACCGGCAAGGGGAAAAAAAACACGAGTTAAAGTCGGGACTTGCAGCGCCGACTTTCCGGGGCGGGCGGGAGCCACAAACTGGGCTGGTGGCCGATCTTCTTGACATGGCATGACAGATTTGAACAACCCACCCCTGCCTGGGGGCTTCTTTTCTCGCTTGTTAGCGGGTAGGTGGCGTTTTGGGGGCCGCGAAGTCCAAGGCCGGATTTGGTGTGTGATACACACACAAGAGCCACACACACAGACGGCGACAGACAGAAAATCGCATGACTGCGCCGCACCGGCTCCCATCGCCTCCGGGCCGGTCCGCACATGTCTTTTCGGTTTCTGATTTCTGATATGTGATTAGATATCGCTTAACTTGACAGACTCGGCCTCTAATCAACCCCTGACGTCGCAACAACGCCGCCGCCACTGGTAAGAGCGAGCGATTTCCTTCCTTCTCTGCATGGATGTTGGCCGCGCGTTGATGATGCTGTTCTCGGCCCTGTTCTCGGCCCGTGTCGAGTGAGAGTGGTGCATGCGATGCGATGCGAGAGCAAAGCCAATCCGACTCCCTCCCACAAACGAGCCGAGCAGGGGCGTGCCGGCCCATGTTAGCGTCTCCCGGCCAAATCTTTTTCGGGGGTAGTTCTTATCCATCCTTCATGCGTGACCCTCACGAATAACTCGAGATTATTGGGGAGAGGTTTGAACAGCGAGGGAGGGAGCCGGCTTTGTTTGGTTGGGTGAGGGGTAAAACCCGCGTTCGCGTCTCGAGACTCGATGGTCTCGTCTCGCCTTGTCCCTGACTTTGTCTATCACGTTCGGTCCTCGTTGGGGTAAACCTCTCAGAATCCAATCGCAAACAAGTGAGACGAAAGAAGAAACCCGCCGGTTCTCGTGAGGCGCCGTTGATCTGCCCGTCTCGTGGAGCCTCAGCTTGGTTGCTGACGGTCTCTTCTTCCCTCCCAGCCACTCAGCGAGCCAACAAACGTCAGTCAACGCAGGAGCAGCATTCGCAACAGCTGTCCGAAGTCGTCGGAGGATCGCCCGCACACGATCTCACTCTGCTCCGCATTGGCGGGCGCCGATCCTCCCAGCATTCTCTTTCTCTCTCTGCCCCAGCAGGACCCTTCACACCCAGTCATTGCCCGCCTGGCAGGTCACGTCAGTTCCAACAGGTCCCACCATTCCAGCATTCCAACAGGGAGCCTCTCTGCACAGACGATCTTGGCCTCGTGCTTGACAGTGCCAAGCCCACACTGGGCGAAGAACAGGCGAGCGCCGAAGGTCGACGTTCCATGGTTCTCGAACATGGCGTGCGACTCAGCCTAAAATATTTCGGGCCACCATGACACCCACCATTGGCCATGTCCCTCGACGTGTGCCTGGATCGGTGCTGAGATTTACACTAGTGTCGTTTTTCCCTGGCTGAACCCTAACCCTTTCTGGAATTATCCCCTATCCTTGCTGCAGGTCAGCAAGGATCATGATGCGAACAGCCCCACGATTCTCCCCCCTCCCCTCACCCTAGCCTGCCCACCACTGTGTTTGCGGCAGGGGGGGTGGTATTCGTGTCATCCCAAAGTTACGGCGCCGTTACGAGCAGGCCTACCAGCGCCAGTTGGTGATGGTGGTGGTGGCGGCGGCGGTGATGGTGTGTGGATATTCCGGCAGGCAAGAGTTGACAGGGGATTTCGAGGCGACGAGAATGTCTCGTTTGCTGTGTCGCGCTTGACATGAGAATGGAAAAATCTCCGCCCCCCTCCGACCGTTGAGATTGATCGATGACCAGGAATAGCTTGAATGCACCCTCCTCCACGCTGTAGGAGAGGGGTCGGCCCGAGCAAAAAGCAACAAACAGCGGGCAAGCAGTTGGGCTTAACGAACTTGGCGAAGAATAGGCGTTGGTTCGTGGTGGCCGCTTCGATCCTCGTGCTTGACTCCCGCAGCCATGGCCGTGCGATCAACGAGAAGGGGCTGCCTGCCAACATCGTTGAGCCGTGCCGAGCAGTGCGGGCCATTGACAAATGAGAAACCTGGGCCGCCCTCCGAGCCGACCTCAAGTCCCGTGAGGCGCGGGCCGGGAGTGAGGAGGTGGACGCCCGGGAGTGAGGAGGTCAAGGCCCGGGAGCTGTGTCCAATGTAAGACATTCCTCCGTCTCCTTTCCACACGCGAATACGTACTGGTTGCCGTTCTGAGATCCTCGCCGTCTCTCGGAGCGGGGTCTTCCTGGGCTCTTTGTTTCCAGCAACTGTGCTAACTAGTTAGTTCCGTTGGACATGTGGGCTCTAACGAAGGGCACGATTAGCTCATGGCCGTTGGGATTTGGGACTTTTGTTTCATGGATCCATGGCGATTCCCCCCGCCGCGACCCCTGGACCCTTCCACCTCCGCTGGCTGGCTAGCGTCGCCTCGAGCGCAATGGCGGAACTTCTGGAAGCTTGGGTCAACTAACTAACGGGGATACCGTGTAGTTATGACGTGTGTTGGCAGCGCCGGTTTGGGTATGGACGGAAAAGAAGTACCGAACGATCGACAAACCTCTGGCGGTCAGAAGAATTCGAAGGCGACATCCCAATGTCTCACTTACGCCGACATCTGGAATGACAGCGCCCTTCTTGATCCATGGTGTTGGGAGGGGCCGTGGTCGACCGGTGAACCAGGGACAAGGCCCGCCAATCCCGGCACCCAACACCCCTGTCTAGAAAAGCGAATCCAGGCATTGGGCCGGAGCGGGCCCCGAACACGTGCGGAGCTCGCGGGCGACGCGACGCCGACTGAGGCTGAAATGTTCGTTCACCCCTCGATGCTTCAGTTGCTGGTGGTGGTTTGAGCTTCACTTCCAGAGAGCCTTTCTGGTGGCTGGGATCGAGGATGAGGCCATTGTTCGTCAGGGATGCATGTTTCTGATTCTGAACGAATACGGCTTAGCTGGGCTGTATGTCTCAGGTCGGTTAAGATACCTCATCAGTTTTGGTTTGCGAGCCTGTGAGACTGATGAGCTCCCAACGAACAAACGTCCTTACTAACTCATGTTAGTGTTGTTGTTCCGTTGCCAAGTTGAGCGAGCCATTCCCTCTCCAGATGGAAAGGAGTTATCCGATCAACGCTGTCTGGATAACTAACCAGCGGTCAACTCTGAGGCTGCCTTGATGTCTCGGCTTCCCCGTCCAAATCCATCGCGCAATGGACCTCGAAGGCGGTATTAGGATTGTGGTGTCCATGTCCTAGCATGTGCCGGGGATGTTGATGCGTTGATGTTGTTGTTGGCAATGGGCAATTACCCTCGGTATCGTGTTTTCCTGGAATCCCAGCTCCCGAATAGCCGTGTCCTCTCCACTTCTTCATCCGAAACACCAAGATCGATCGAGTTAATCGAAAGCTCTCCACAAGCGGATAATCACCAACCTGACAATATTGCATTTCCGGTCTGCATTGTGAGAGCGAACAGACGCCGTCAGGGGACCGTTCCGTAAATTCGGATATCATCCGATCAATATTCCGGGGAAATTTGCTAGCATCATGCTCACTTTGCGAGGGACTCTGCAGGCACAGCCTTTCCTCAGGCCCCCGGTGCTCCCGATGCCTCAGGGGACCTATTCGGAATTGCTTTTCGGACCCGAGGGGAGGTTAGGGATCCCTGGCCGCCTGTCATGAAGTTCGTTCAGCTCTCCTGATTCGTGTCCATCTTGTCGTCCGATGACGAGGGATCGAAAGTTTTCCAACAAGGGGGAAAGGCTTGCATCGACGGATCCTCGCAGCCGCTGATGTGCTTCTCGATGCTGCACGCAGCCAGTGGGCTGCACAGCCCGGAGCCCATCCGGACTGGGAGCATGCTTCTGTACATCCGAGTGGTTCTCGTAAGTCGACGTGGATTACACCAGCTTCCGCCGCCGTGTCTCCTCGTAGCTCGCAATCCGAGTTTGCCTAGTGTCCGAAGGGAGGCCATTTGGCTTCTGCACTTGTTGATTTTGCCGCACCTGGCTGCTGGAACCCGAGAATAAAGAACTCGCAATCAATGACTGATGCTCATCTGGGAGATTGACGAGCTGTATTCTGATATTGACTTGTTCCACCACATCGAGCTGAATGGGGAGGGGTTCCGGAGTGGAGAGTCAAGACAGCATCTGGCTTTTGTTCTGCAGGATCCCGAACGCGGCGGCTAGTTGCATTAACAACTTGATCCCCGGGGCTTGAGTGTATGTGCAATGCCAGCCATGGAGCTTTTTATCGGATCTACGCATATGCAGACAGCCTGGCTCGCGATGGCTTCGTCATGGAGCCTCGATTTCTTTCCCCGGACACCCGGGAAGCTCATGATGCCTACTGCCTTAGCCGGGACGATGAGGCCGAGACGACAGGTCCGAATCAGTTGATCTACCCGCAGCGCAAGCCAACCCATTCCGGGAATATCACCCACTGTCAGGGGCTCGGGCTGCTTGGGTCATCCCCATCGAAGGATTCTGCCAGGGATTTCAACTTGTTGCCGAGCTCTGCTGAACTGTCCAAGCTGACGAAACTGGGCAGGGCAGTGCGAGCAACAAACTGCAATGCCCAGATCATGCGGCCGCCCAGCTGCGTGGAGCGTACATACACAGTAAAATGAGAGTCTGTTGAGGTCGGGACATGAAGTCTGACCGCAACGAACTGTTGCAGGGGACGCGGCTCTCTAGGTTTGGGTGGTGCCTCTGCGTGCGCCTTGTGCTTGCGCTATGCTCCGATAGGACTGGGCAGGTTCTGGGCGTCTTTGTCCATTGGACTGACCAAAGGATCCTTCGTCGATGAAGCTGCACGATGTTGACGAAACCTGCGGAGCGGGTGTAACGAAACTGAAAGGGTACATGCAGATAGACAAGAGGGTCGCTGACACTGGCCCGTAAGATCCCTGCGTGGAGGAAGCCGGCTTACTTTTCCGGCTCTCAAAACTAGAGGGAGAGCAGATACCTCTACCAGCCGTGACGAAGCAATCCTTGACGGATGAGAGTTAGTTGAACGGCATGCCGCACTATTGCTGCAAAGGGAATCGTTTCGATCCCCACCTTCCTGGTTGGTTGGATTTGCGTTTGATTCCCACCTGAAGGAACTGCTGTTGGATCCCGTTTCGTGATTGACGACAGAATCGAGACTGGTGAAGGTGAGAGGAGGTTTGCCGTGACCGGCATGTGGGCCATTCAGTGCGATCGCGCGGTGGGAGGAAACCGGGATGGGCATCTCGAACCGGGCAATGGAGGATTTTCAGACAGGGACGGGCAGTTGTGTTCATGGGGTGATGAAGTGATCGATGCTGCAAATCCGCTTGTTCGGCAGTCGAGAGGACTCATGCATACCGAGTTGTTAACAATGGCATTATGCACCCCCCGGAGCCGATCCGTCTCCGCCGAGGCAGATTGACTCCCGTCGGTCGTTTGTGGAGAGTGGTCTCACCGGCAACAAATGACGGTCCCGGCAGGTTACGTTGGTTTGCGGGGACGAGATGGCCAGCAACCGTTGTGATCGGCTCGGCTGGCTTAGGACCACTCGGAATCCGGATGGCCAGGGCAATTGGGGGATGCGATCCGGAAAGGGCAGTTGTGCCTGCTCAAATTGGAACCCCTCAAAAGCCTTGCGCCTGCACGAGGTGCAGCGGCGACTGGCTTCTCGGCCGTTCCTGCATCCCGTGTCTCTCACCGGTCCCCCTTACTAATCCTGACTTACCGGGCCCTTCGAGTGGCCCCAAGCGGTCGCGGGTTGTTGGCTCCTTCCAGGTTTACTCACAATCCATGTCGGGGCCGTGACAGCAGGAAGGTGGGATATCCCAATCCTCGTACGGGGTTCTGGTCGCAGGGCTTAATTCGGAGAATACTAAGTAAGTGGGGATGGATTGCTGCGGCGTCGACGATCAATCGAGGACACCTCCATACCTACACAGCATGACGGCGTGGAATACTCCGCCCGTGGCGTCAGCCTCTGAAATGTCTGCTGGTGCCCCAGGTAGTAATTCATGTGACGCATGTGAAACTGGACAGTCAGTGTCTTGAAAGTGTCGTGGCGGGGGTCATCGTGAGCACGGGGGCTATGGTGTCGTCCACCCCGCCGTCTCACAGTCATGACGGCTGGGGTCCCGTCATGAAGGACCTCGGGGATCGTGACGGGTGGGTCATACATTTCATCTTGAGCGAAACCTCTGTTGCTAATGCAACCTGGCCCATTCCGTGGGCAATATACATCGTCATTGGCGAGTTAGCTAGCGCCATCATCACCATCTCGACCCGCCTTCGAAGTGGAGCGGAGGCCAGTGGGTTCTCGAGCCTCAGTGACGCAATCAAATCGGAGTTTTTGTGACCGAGAGCAGCACACCGCTTTCCGTCATCACTCAATTGCTACTGCGCAAGCCCATCGAGTGCCGGCAGCGAGGCGGTGTTCTGCCAGTGTGACCAGTTCTCAAACCTGAGAGGGGTTCCATGTTGGTGGTCTCCCGCACCACCCGGTCCGGCGCGGCTGGTGAGATCGGCCTCAGCATCTAGAATGGTGGGGCGTTCGGGGAAAGGCGCCGGGATCGACCCCCGGCAGCCGCTACCTAATTTGACAACCCGGTGCTCTTCTGTATTTCCTCCCGGCCTTCAAGCCTCACGCGGACATAACAAAGTAACTATAACCACCGCATCTTCGAAGCAGCCGCGCTACTTTTGTCAAGAAGCGAAAAAAAGAAAAGAAAAAAAGGTATGTCCTAGGCGAAATGGGTTCTGACCGCTTTCTACACAGTGGGGAGTCAACGAGTACGGTATGTATGTACACATCCCATAATAGCGTTAGCGAGTTTCGTTTCGTGCTCTGGCTTGCACGAGACGACCTGGGTAATCTTCGCATCCCATATTACCAACATGCTTCATGTAGTTGCAATATCAGCGGCAGGTTGTTGCAGGACACCATCCGGGAACATTGCCGAATTGGGAGGTATCCCACGAATCAAGGGGCGCGAGACATTGTGGCCCGTGAGAGAAAAGGGTCTGGCCGTCCGTGCGTTCAGCCTGGCCCGCGTCGATTCCGGCTTCCGGCGAGAGCAAGGTGATGACCCATCTCTTCGTAACCTGCGGGATTTACACACATGCATCACTGCCATCTGTCTCCCCTGCCTGGCTCATTCCTGGGCCTCAATCCCGAGGCCAGAGTTTGTCTTGACCGGGTTGGGTCACTGACAAGCGAGTGTCGTTGGAAGTGTCCTGAGCAGTGTTTCAACCGCACGCAGCCAGTGGGGAAAATCGGTGGTATGTATGTACCTGCATCTTGGAGGGGTTCGGAGTGGATTCGATGCACAACTTCCCAGGTCATTATGTAGTTATACTTGGATGTCGTGCTTAAGCCTGCAGCTCGTCTTGCGATGCACTTGTCCCTCTCGATATTCCGTTATTGGTGGTTTCTAGTTCCTGTAAAGTAGTTGCATCTGCTGTCATCTTCGGTACTGTGCTGCCGAACATCGAACTTGAGCCTTGGGTCTGCTTTTCACGGCGACTGCGCCTATTGGTTCGATGCACAGGACCATGAACGGCTGGTCCGTGTCCACCTCCCACGGACACCAGTTAATCCAGTAGGAGCTCTTGAGAATCGGAGAATCGGTTGCGGACCCCAGAAATGCCTGAAGGGAATAGGAAAGGATACCATCGTCACAGTGCCGTATACATACCTTGATACATGAGCGAGGTAAGCCCAATTAGCTAGAATCGTATCAGATATCCACGTCGCTTAGAGACGAGTGGCAGCGCTCGGACAGGACGTCGTTGAATTCAATGAGGGGCTGCGATCACGCAGAGAGGTGGGTGGGGTAGAATGTTTCTGTTTCGACCCCGTTTCAGATCAAGTGATGCAAACCACGACCATCCATTGGTTGCCGGGCCATGGTCTCGGAATCCGATTTGCGAAAGAATAGCTCTCCCACGTGGACCACGTTGTACCCCTGTAACGGTTGGGAAGGCTCCCCGTTCATTTTCATGTTCAGCTGCTGTTTGTCGACAAAGGGTGTTTATGTCCGACACTACTTGCAAGGGCATGATGTCGAGTGGCTTGGCCATGCTAACCTGGCAAGGCCGAGTCTGATGAAGCAAAGCGGCCGGGACTTCTGGTGGTCACAGACTTCAACGATCAGCGGATGAATGGAAGCTGAACTCGAGAAACAGAATGGCCAGCCATGGCAGGGTTGCAGAACTATTCAGAGACAATCGCGATGCGCGTAAGGGGCTCGATTCTGCCCACTTTGACGTGCCCAACGACAGAGCGAGCTACATTGAAAATAATATCGATATCGCATGGGTAGGTAGGCTTTGAGCGGTTCCTATGGCCTACTGAAACTAGTCGGTTGTCTGGTGTGCATCCCTGCAGTGAAGCGGCCCGCAGCCGGGCGGTGTTGGAAACCGCGAGCCTTTTTGTCGAGGGCCGAGTTGCGATAGGAAAAGAAAGAGAGGTCTGAGAGTCCAGATCGACTGCACAACATGGCCTTCTGTGGAGCCGAGTCGGGCTTAAAATGTGGGGGAAGGGGTTGGTTGGGTGGGGGCGGATGGGCAACCAGGGTTATTCGGTTTCTGTTTGCGGGTTGTGGCTGCTGCTTCCATGTACCTGTATCTCCCAAGTTTTCTTGTTGGCTTCGGTCAGGTTGTTCCATCACAGCCGCAATAGACCGAGCAGTGCATCGGAACGCTCGACTTCCAGCCCCTGACACTTTGCAGTTTACTACCTAAGGGCCAGTAGAATGGGAGCGGGATGAAAGAGACCTCGCAAATGTAACTGTCACGGCGGGATACCTCCCCACCGGAGCTCGGCGTGAAGATTGGCGGCGAGCGTTCTGCTCGGTGTGTCAGACATTAGCAATCTGGCGCGGCCTACAACGGACGAGCAAGATTCGTTCTCATGTGTTTAATCCAGTCAAACGGTTGACCCCGCCCGGCACCCTTTCCCGTGCCGGTTGTCTCCATACTACAGTGTGGTATGCCTCGCAGGAGGAGCACGAGGGGTCGGTTGTGCTACATACCTGCCAGAGCAGACACGGAATGCCACTGCCCAACGTACCAAAAGGAGATCTAGCCCGCCTAATTGAGCAAAGAAGATGCTCAAACCTACAAACTCCATCCAATGGCACCCAAGCCACCGACTGTGCTGTGCTGTTAAAGAGTCCTTTGAGTGGAGACTCTTTTCTGGCTTATCGGACCCACTTTTGCGCACGGAGAACTTGACCCTGGATTCGAAGTGCCCGAAAGTGGACCTTTGGCTTTGAGATAACGGTCGTCGTCGGTCTCCTCGAACGTGGAAACATTGAATCGTTTTGATTGTTGCATCCGACAAACAGATTACTTTTATTTCCCTTTTTATTTCTTTGATTATTCCTTTTTTACAACGTTGAAGGTTGGGCGCATGCTTACTGTTTCTTTTCCCGATGCCAGGTCATCCAGAGAATTCGGCATATTGTGGAGGTCATGCCTTCCGAGATGCACAGCACCCAAAAAGAGTTTACAACGTGGTTTTCTGAAAGCCACGTACGAGCCGTGTCTGCATTGGTTTTTCCCCACACGGAGCTGCCAGGCCTCTCGGTATCATCGCCGGGAAACGCAGCAACGGGCATCTCGACGTGGGTCCGCTGCCGGCCGCCGGAAGTACCCCAGATTTTGCAACCGTTGACGGCCGGGCTCCCATGAAAGCCCGCACAGACAACCTCAGAACTGCTAGACCTGAGGCGGGGTGTTGCTTGCATGTTTTCGGTTGAACCTCTTCGCGACACTTGCCATTCCCTGCCGCTCTATCATCATGTGGTCTTTTAGCAGCCAATCCACCGGCGATCGAATAACATACTCGACCAAAAAAGTGTTGATGGTTGAAGAACACGATGTCACGACGGCTTCCTAGCGGTTGCGCAAGTGGTCCGGCTAAGAAAACTCCGCTGAGACCGCTGTGAGCATCATGCACGCCTTCCCGCCCAACACTCGGACCAAGCTCATCTCGAGACAGACAAGCTGCGAGGCGTCTCTTTCCTGTTTCCAGTCCGATCAAGTCCAAAGCCGAGCCGTCCCGCAGCCCCCGGCTGCTTTTCGTTCCAATAGGGTAAAATTACCCCAGACTTTCATGCAAATCCTCATTCAGCCATCCGCAGTCACAACGGCGCCACACCAAGATTGGATGAACCACTCGCGGCAACATCCCGGTAACGTAACGCACTCCTCCCATCTGTCAAATCACCATCAAACCAGGGACGGGAGGGTCGCTCGATCTCCACGGTAAAGCTGAAGGGAATTGGGACGCTATTTGCCCGTTTCTGAAGCTGTGGTACGCATTTACTTTCATGTGAACACGACCGTGAAAGGCGACCGTCTGGTCCCCGTTCCAAGCGCTCGAATCTGGGGAATCCTTGTCGCCTGCCCACGACGGGGAGATGATAGCTGGCCATGGACTTTTCTTATCTCATCCTAGCCCACGAGGGTTGGGCCCGATGAGAATTACCATCTCTCGGAAACGGCGCTCTGCTCCCTGCTGTACGGCTTTACTAGGTAATAAATGGTCAAGTACTTTCCTAGCTCTTCTCCACCTTTTCCTCTTCTAAACTAGATGGCTCTTCTCCGGTGTTGCCTTCGAGTCCATCTCCATGACGATTTTCAGCACCCGACGTATTTTGTCGGTGGACGGGCGCTCGGAAAGACCCTGTTGATCTTCGTGGAGAACTGCAACCTCGATTACAACATCTGGCCCCTTCAAGTTTGTGTTTGGTACGTGGAATAAGAATAGCCAGAGGTGGAGAGCGCTGGGAGGCAACTCTTCGGTTCACGCCGTTGTCCAATTGCATGGCGAAGCTTGTCATAACGAACGATGGCCATTGGCGGTCTTCTTTTAGTCAGCCCACAAGCAAGGGGTCAAAAAGGAAGACATCCAAGTACAGAGTTCTAAATTATTGCAGCTGTTCGATTCATTTGTGGCGCTTTCCTTACCGCGCTGCATGATATCAATCTTGGCCTTTCTTCCTCACCGCCTGACCGTACGAGACTACGAGAAACCATCGAGAGCTGACACTCGGGTCGCTTTCTCCCTCTTCCCATGAGGTGGGGCGGGAAGATGTTGGATAATAGCCTAGCAAACATCCCCTTCAAACCATCCGCGGTATAGATTAGTATGAATGAGACAAACACCCCACAAGACATCTTCGGCTCTTTGGGTAACGTTATTAGAAACATCCGTGGCGTTATCGCTCGGCCGTGGCGGCACACGTATTCGCAGTCGGGGGGCTAATCTCGACACCCGTCTGTCTCAAAGTCTCCCGGTTGAAACACTGGGAAAATATGACGATCGGTATGAAGTCAATAAAACACGCGACGGAACGAAATGGCTGATGATCGAATGGCGGGAAGCAACTCGAACCTGGAAACAGCCAGATCAACCTAGCAAAAGCGGGATGCAAAGCGAAGGACCTATCCTGACTCGCTCCTGCTCCTGCCTCATCAGTGATCCCGCAAAACCTTTTGCAGCGCCACGCCTGCTCTTTCCCGCTGGTCTTGCGCCCGATTATTGAGAAATATTTTCGCCTTTCCCGAAGTTGATACTTGCGTGTTCTTTTTTTTTTTTTTTTTTTTTTTCCCCGAGCCGTCTGCCGAATTGGCTACAGATGGTTGGGTTTTGCGGCCGCGGAAAGGGACCCCACCAGCATCATCCCCTGAATCTCACAAATCACCGATCATCAAAGTCATCGGCCTTTTCAGAACCTGTTCAGCATGACGCAGCTGTGGGTGCGCCCACTGCCCGCTTCTCGGTTCAAGGAGGCCGCGGCGGCAGTTTGGTAACACGAGAAAATCCAGTCTTTCGGTCGCCGGAGTGGCCACGGATAGGCGACTGGTCCTTGCATTAGAAAGCCACAACATCACGTTGTCTTACTGCAGTAACAACCTCCGATGGGCCGCCAGCGACCATGGCGGCGGAGCGATTTATGAGACATTGTGTGGCCTGAAATCAGAGACACACGGCGGAGGTGGTCGCGGCTGAACATCGCATTCGCAGGCTTTTTTCCCTTCTGCCTCCTTCATCCCGACTGGCGGCGGCAATTGGACGCTGTTGGGGGTACAGTACCTGAGAAGAAAGAAACCTCATATTCTGATGGCGGGTCCGGTTGGTCACGACGGTGTTGCACCGTCACATCATCCCTTGCCTCTTGCTCTGCTCGCATCACTAGTGGACGTGGGCCGATGCAACAGGCGAAATCACGCCCTCATGACCGCAAGAAGTCGCATCTTGCTGTTGTCGTCCTCGTTCTCAAGGGGGCCCGCTCGATCTGGTGCTGCGCGAGGTATCACCCACCTCTACGATCCCCCGCCTGCGACGACACTAATAATACCGAGCAGTGCAGTGGGACATGGAACGGGAAGTCATCCACCAAGCCAGAAGGAGAAGACTGGTGTAACGTCCTCGAGGACCTGATACTTCGGAATGGGTTTGCCGGCAGGATCGGAGAGATGCCGGCCTCGCACAATGGATCTGTTTCCGCCTTTCGAACCAAAGCAGTCTCTGTCCTGTCCTGTCCTCCTCCACTGTCCGTTCTGGACGTTTTGGCGTCGGGACAATGGGGAATGCGCAATCTCTCTCCGCCTCAAAGCGTGTATCGCTTCCAACCTCCGAACAAGGTATCGTTGTTTTCGCTCCTTTTCCCACGGGCATCTATCGCGCCGTCTCCGATCTTTCCGTTCTATTTAACTTGGCAAGGCAGGGGGAGGTAGCTGTCGCGGTCTCACCCCTTGCGCCTCGCTTCCACTCCTGGTGCTTGCAAGGAGCGATTCACCCTTGCAGCACGCCCCGGACACCGGGCGGGGCTGCGACGCTTCTCAACAGGGTCGTCCCTTGAGAGGAGCTCCTTCCACATCCCGGTCGGTACCTGGGGTACAGACGACAAGGGTCTGCGTGCAAGTGCCATCGAGAGTCCGTGCGAGAATCCCTGCAACGAATGAGATACGCAACCAGATTTCGATGGGCCCCACTCGGCCGGGTGGAGGCGGGGAAAAGCCCACCCTGTGAAGCAGCTGTCCCATTCGCCAATGGGGTAGCAGCCCGCGGAGGATGAGCCGTGTGTGCTTCTCACTCCTTCCCGCATGTCTCGCACTTGCCTTCAGGGCTGTAAGTGGTGCTGTGGCTGCAGGAGCGCACCACTGGGAGGGACAAACCCGTCCCCCTCCCGTCCCTTTTTGGCGGTCCTGGGGCTGCCACCTCGTCTGCGAGTTCCAGAGCTGCCTCGTTTTGTAAACTCGAACTGCACAGCAAGCCACGCCCGCCAGCCGTCCCGTTTCCCATTGCCCACCCTAGTTCATCTATGTCCTTTGTATAGCCACAACCTCACGTTTCTGAGCCCGTCCCTCGAGCGGGAAGGGCGGTCATAATGTCTGATACTATGACCGGCATAGAAACGTGCTGTCACCATCATCCACGGTTTGGGGGAGGGGAGACGTCACCCCACGAGCATGAAGGTTCGACAAGCTGCCCTCTAGTGCTAACTAATGTCGAATTGAAGCGGGGACTCAACGGCGTCAGTGAGTAAAAATGATGGAAGCGAGGTTTGCTGGAGATGACCGAAAGTCTCTTTTTCTCTCCCTCCTGTACCGGAGGAAATCGCCGCTAGCTGCATCGGCTGTTGTAGGGCATGCCGACCTGAAGGAAATCAGCCAGACCTTTCCTGTTCCTCACCTTCCGGCCCTCCTCCCGTCAATCGTGGCGCCGGCTACTACCTCTTTGAGGAAAGCTCGGGGAAAACTGAAAAAAATAATAGGAAGAGCGACTGCGACCAGGGCCTCCTGCGAAGAGAAGACGCCAGCTTCCATCAGCCGGCCGGGGTGCTCCCCCCCCCAACGGCGACCCCTGTTCTTGGCTGGTCCATGGCACCCGGCCCACGTCCTTCGTTTAAGACTTCTCCAAGGTACGAAATACGTTACGGACAAGTACTTGTAGCCTCCTCCTCGAGCTTCTCGCCCTGGCACCGGCATCAATACTAACCCGAACGGCACTGCCGTTGCTAATGCTACCATCACCGTCTCGCGGCTCGAGAGCTTCCAAAACTAGCGCATCGGGACTGGAGAACTGGCTTTCGCCGGCACTGTACCGTACACACGTTAGCTCAAATCAAGACGAGCTGCACCTGCACGTCGGGGTCGTGGTAAACGTGGGGCTCTTTGCATCAGCCGCCTCCCTGCTGTTCTTCCGACACACACATACCACACAGGGGATATCGAGCAGCTCATCCCTTCTTAATCCTAATTCTCTTTCTGCCCGTGCGTCAGTTTAGTCTTCGTGGGCATATTCTTGCCAACACGGAAACACGCAGCGGCTCGATCCACAAGACGGTCATCGCAGCTTGTTCGGGCTTGTTAATCGAGATCCCCTAAGCGTCGTCTCCGTCAACGATATCTTTCGGCCAGACACAGCTGGTGCTCGGGGCACCCGTTCCACCTGCACATATCCGGACTACCAACGCGCTGCAACGAGGAAGGGGACAACGACACTGCTCGGGGTTGCAGTGCTGCAGTCTGGAGAACCCATCATCAGTGCGGCAGCGAGAGCCCAGACCATCGAGCCGTCTCCCCTCGATCCATCACCACCCGCCGTCGCACCCGCTCTCGTTTTCACCCCTCTTCCCCACACCGCACACCGGGCGACTAGCCGAGCCTGGAACACGCCCCCGCGGTATAGCGACCCCGTCCATACAACATCGTCGGCGTCACTGGGCTCTCTAATCCCTGCGCCCACGAGAACCGGTGGCGAGCATATCTGTGATAGTTATATCGCCTGGCTCCGCCCTCACCCGCCTCCTCATCCCCATATCGTTTATGAATTTGTACATAATCGCGCCCACCACACCCCCGCACCCCCAATCGCTTCTCGCAACTCCAAGACCTGTACTCCAGGTTGAGTTTGACTTTTGTAGTCATTGAGAAGCGAAATTTGTTGTTGCTAGACCAGGACGACAACTTCGGCATCCGGCCATCGGCTCTCCCGGTCAATATCGGTTCCTGCGTTCCCGCAAGAAGCAACGATAACGATAACGTCAGCTCCGGCGGGAAGCACAAGAAGCTGTTTCCCCTTGCCGGCAGGGACCCGACGGTCCACCACTCGCGGGGTCTACAGAGTAGACCAATTTGCTTTTGTTTTGCACTCGCAATTGCAAAAGGACCCAGTGCAAGACGTTGAACGAGTCGCCGCGTTTTGGACCAGATCCTGGTGACAAGGAGACCTGACCTGACCGACGAAATCCCCGGAGGCGAGAGAGATCAAAGTGGAGTGCTCCCCCAGGTGGTCTTAGACAACCCAGACAACCCAGACAACCCGGACAGCCTGGACGCTTGGTTCGGCACCGTCGCGACACACCAGGACAGGTGAAGAAGCCAAACCCTGTTCAGACAGGGCAGGGCAGGGCGTCTTTTCGTGGACTTCCAGCCCGCCGGACGAGCTCCACTGCCAAACCGCATGAGTAAAGCCAGGTACGAAAATACATCATTCCATTATTCCATTGCCGTCGGGCATTCTAGCCTCACCCCCACCCCACCACCCCAGGGCCTGGGACCAGGCCTGTCCATGGCCCGCTTCCCTAGCACCCCCCCCTCCCGGCCCTCGACCCTCGCACTGCTGCATCTTTAAGTCAAGACACCCGCCTCCGGGCCCCCCTCCTTGTCACCATTTGACATTATTATCACGAGCCGTTTTGATGTATCGTCATTCGCATCATTGGTGAATCTTTGGAGGCGCCGTTTGTTAAGGTTCGCAAGCGTAGAACCATCCGACCCCAGGCCCCTGTTTGTCTCTTGGGTTCAAAGCTTCACCAGCGTGCGCACTTAAAACGTCTGCCACCCTTCCCTCATTGCGATTTCTCTCCATTGCGATGCTCCAACACCAGACCTTGTCTTTTTTTTCTCCAAATGAGCGGTTGTCTAACAATGAAATCAGAACCTTCAGATTCGCTAGAAATGGAAGTCCTAGAGCTCGTGGATAATGAACCGACAGCTCGCGCCTTCAGGTGCGACTGGAAAGCCTGTGGTAAGGTGCGTACTCGCGCCTCTGGGCCGATCACTCCCTGCTCCCCATGACTCCGCCGGGTAGCTGACCTATTCTCGCTAGGGTTTTAATCGCAAATCCGATCTCCAGAGGCATTACCGAATACACACAAACGATCGGCCGTACAGGTGCTACTTTGACGGCTGTGGCAAGGGCTTCATCCAACGAAGCGCCCTGACTGTACACACCCGGACACACACTGGGGAAAAGCCTCACGCCTGCAGCCACGTGGGATGCGGGAAGCGGTTTTCAGATGTATGCCATGCCCTCGCTCCGTCGCCTCCCCGCCGTACTGACTTCAGTACAGTCTTCAAGTCTGGCGAGACACCGAAGGATACATACGGGTAAACGGCCATACACATGTAACCATAAGGGGTGTACAAAAAGGTGAGTCTTGCTGCTCCTTGAGAAGTCGAGCTTGGCACTAACCGAAGCGCGGCCATGAGCAGCTTTTGTAGAAAAACGACCATGGTAAAACATTGGAAGCGAACCCACAATAACCACGGCCCACCGCCCAGCGGACTAGAAGACTCAGCTTCCGAGGATGGCAGCCCACCTCCAACACCCGATAGCCAGACCGGCGGGATGCCGTGGTCGACTGACCCTCACACGCTGTCGGGCCACCCGAGCCACCCAGGCCATCCCGGCCAACTCCAACGAGCACCTTCATATGCCGACTTTGGCCCGCACATGACCAACTATAGCATGCACCAGCAGTATCCGCCGCATAGCTTATCACCCAGCACCATGGCTAACTACCATGGCGTTCCCGCCATGACCCAACCACCACCCCTTGACGGCGCCCACGACCTCCCCCCATCACAACAACACGCCGGCATGCACATGGCCCAGCAAACGCCGAGGATACCGGTCGGCTTCTTCATCCCGGACCATAACAATCCGGGGGTAGCGACCATGAACACGCTCGAGAGCCCGGGCGCTTATACCGTAGTAGGGGGGAGGACGCCGCCAACGACGCAGGGCTTTTATGCGCAGATCCCGCGCGGTCAGCTGCAGCAACAACAACAGTTGCACCAACAGCAACAACTGCAAGAACAGCAACTGCGACAGCAACAGGAGCAACAACTGCGGCAGCAACAGGAGCAACAGTTGCGGCAGCAGCAAGAACAACAGTTGCGGCAGCAGCAGGAACAACAGTTGCGGCAGCAGCAAGAACAACGACTGCGCCATCAACAAGAGCAGCAGCAGCAGCAGTGGCACGACAGCGGGCAATATCAGTCCCCCGTGTCGGTGCCCATGCCTGTGCCCGTCCCCGAGGTGGCCAGCATCGGCTCCATGCCCGTGTTCGGGTCGGTCGTCGGCGGGTTCAACCCGTGGGACGCGCCCAAGCTCGAGTTCGAGAACGACCCCACCATGCAGATGCCCAGTGCTAGGATCGATACCATGTGAGGAAGGGAGTATATATATACCCTGTGAGGCACGGGTCGGTGGGTGATGGGGGAGGGGGAAGCCTTAAAAAGGGTAAAGGAAAGGAAACAAAAATAAAGAGAGATGAATACATGAGAAAAAAAGGGTTGCAAAATCGGTTTAAAGCGGACGGGAGGAACGGAACGAAACGGAACGGGAGCGGGTGGGCCGCCGATCTGGCTAGCTCTGACGATCAGGGTGACGACGACGGAGGCGGGATCATCGAGGCAGTCGTTGATCGGAGGAGCCGGGCCCCTATCGGGGCGACGTCACGCCATGGCGGTGGAGTCTAGTAGATTCGTTCGGTCGGTCGGGGTGGGGTGGAATGGGATAGGTCCGGTTTGGTCCGCTTCGGTCCGCTTCGGTTGGGTTTCGGGGCGTGTTTCGGTCGGTCGGCCGGCGGCCGGGTTCCTGTCTGTCCTGTCTGTCCTGCCTGTCCTGCTGCTCTGCTGCTCTGCCGTGTTTTGGCCGCGAGAGATGCATGCTCTGCGGCGATTTCCCCCTTTTTTGGTTTCTTCGTTTCTTGGTCGCCATGTCATGTGGTGTCTGTCTGATGTTGGGTTGATGGCTTTGCTGGCTTTGCTGGTTGGTCTCTTTTTTGTTTCTTGGCTAAGGGTTGGGGCGCGGCGGTCTGCTTTTTTTACGCTCCCTTTTTTTCTACCCCTTCTTTTTTTGGATGGATGGAGGGATGGGATGGATGGGTTTTTTTTTGTTGTAGGTTCTTCTGGCTGGCTGTATTTGTAGTCTTCTCTCTCGCATACCCCCCCACCCATAGCGGGTATCATTGACGCATGGGTAGTTTTGTTAATGAATATTGGTACTAAATTCTGGGCTGAGGGTGGGTGCCGTGAGTTGTGAAAATGGTGATGGTGAGGTTGGTGAGCGCTGGGTTGCGTGTGGTGCTGGGGAGGGTTGTCCACTGGAGGTTGTTCGCTGGGGGGGATTGTCCCGCTGAGGAGGTTGTCCATGTTGAAGCTTCCCAGGTTGAAGGTTAACCACTGTTGAAGGTTGCCCATGTTGAAGGGTGCCCATCCAAGTCCGAGCTGGGTCGAGACACCTGGCTCGGGGTCGCGTGAGGGGAGAGAAAGCCGGCTCTTCAACCAAATTGCGAGTGAGTACGAGCAGTGTGCTGCTGTGTTCCCCGAGCGGGAGGGGCGCACTGAAACATCTGTCCAACGGTATCTCGTGCCCTCGTGGCTATGGTTGTGTCTCGTCGTGTATCTCGACACGTGGTGCGAGGGCGGGGGAAGTTGCCAGACTCGGTAGGACGTCCATAGAGAGAGAGAGAGAGAAGAGAGGAGGGCGCACGAGGGAGAGGAGGAGAGCAGGATGAAAACGGCGAGGAGAATAGGCAAGCGGTGGGCTCGGGTCCATGATGTTTTCGTGACCTGCCGGCGGGATTTGCGGACGGCATGGCCTTTGCACTACCACCGCAGGGCTTGGACTCGCTGGCCGCCACCCACTCTATCAGGTTGGATGCATGTGCATAGACGCGGCCGGAGCGTGTAAGTGCGCCGCAGTACTGCCTTTTTAGCCGAGGGAGCCGAGGTGGTTTGAAGCTGTGAGGGTTGCTGGGTGGGTGCAAGCGATGGGCATGTATGTGCCTCGTCAGTGAGTTGGTGGTGAGACGTGAGAGTGAGTGAGAGGTGAGAGGTGAAAGGGAGCGAGTCGGAAGAAGGACCAGGCTCCTCGGTCAACCGAGGGAGGCTCGGGGGTCATGCCATGAAGATAAAGTGGCCTGCTCTGCTTTGCCTCGACTGTGCCTCGGTCACTCCGTAGCCGCCGTCCATGACGCTTCCTGTGGGCACGACGCCGTCATATCCCTTCTTGTAAAAGCGGCTGGGCGGCGGCGCTGATGCATGGCCGGGCCAATGACCTGGCGCAATAACACTCAGCGAGAGTTGCCGTACTTCGTACCGCATCGAGCACTCCGGCTCAATGGGCAAGCCGCGTACACAGACGCGGATGTAACGGTGGATCAGGGAGTTCGCTTGGGACAGGCGTCTCTTCCCGTGCTTAGTCTGTTTGGTTTGCTTGGTTCCGGAATTCTTTTTGTTCTGGAAGAACTCTGGCGCGCGCTTGGTCCGAGACGGAACCAATATTGGGTAATTGGGTGATGGTTTATGGAAGGCTGCTGTGGGCGGTGTTTACACAGTAGGGAGAAAAGACAGCTGGCATGTTGGTTGAGATGAGAGAGGAAAAGAGGGAGGGATGCCGAGAGAAGTCGAGGAAGAGTGAGAGAGGGTGAGGACAAGCGGCAATTCTCATGATATGGCGAGTTCTTCCAACAAAAAGCCAACACAACTCGGCAGCTACATAATCCACTCTTCGCCCTTCGCCCTCTCTCAGCAACCTCCCTCCTTGCCGACACCGAGAGAGATGCCGACTTGGGGGACAAAGAGCTACCGAACGGGCCTCCCACATGCCATTAGCGTCCATTACAATTGTCACTCGCAGCCTCTGATTGGAGGGGTTGTACGGCCATGTCATAAGCGCTGATGATCTCGACGGCGGCAACCGAGACAGCGGGGAGCAGCGGGGACAAACACGGGATGGCCTGCGCTGGGAGGTGTGGGAGCTGTTGAATTTCTGCGCGGTGCCCCGCCACAGCCGCATTGCATTGCCCGCCTGGGCTGGAAGTGCCCAGGTTCCAATGCCCGAGTCCAGTTCTCGGTGGCAGACGGGAGACTTGAAAATCTATCAAAAAAAAAAAAATTACCCAATTCATTGCGTATTTTGTGTGTATTTATTGATGAACATCTCATACCGATCTCGATTTGAGAGTATCGTCAAAATTCACAATTCTCCGATGGTCCGATCTCAAGAACTTCCCGCCCGCCCGGGCCAAAGGTTGTCATCGGATGGTGCGCCTGAACCCGATTGCCCAGGGGTGGGAAGGCCTGGAACAGGGCCCAAGAGGTCCAAGCTGCCGACAGATGCCCACTACAGAATTACGTCGCCAGGCGCTTGGCATCGGACAAACAATAAGCTCCGTCTCGACCTGCAGCGACCTTGTGGCCAAAAAAAAACCCGAACTCAAAAAGGAACAACAAATCATGAAAAAAGAGGAGTCAAGAAAAGAGAAGAGGCAAAAGAAATCGAGTAAAGAGAAAGAAGTAAAAATAACCCGAGAAATCAGAAAAAAGTAGTAAAAGAAAAAGAGAGAGAAGTAAAAGGAAAAGAAAAGAGAAGGGAGTTCGGCTTTCTTTGGCCAGAGGGCGAGTGACTGGCTTGGCAAGAATGGAAGCTCAGAGCACGCGATTGAATCCGATAACGTCCATACCCGTCCGATAAGCTACCACTTTCTTGAGACCGACACCGATACCAACACCAATACCAACACCTACCTAAACACCGCCTACCCTCCAACATCAACCCCCCCAAAAAAAACACTATGCGCTTCTCGGGTGCCGTCCTCGCCGCGCTAGCTGGGCACGCGCTTGCGCACGGGGACCACGGCGGCAGCGGGTCGCACAAGCCGGCCGTTGACGAGAACGCAAGCTGGATGCAAAAACACATGGCCGGTATGCTATAATTATGGCTCTCCGCCCAGCTGACGAACACGATCCCCTTGCTGACACCCGGCTTCCCCCCCACCCCCCGGCAGAGGAGCACCACGCGGACGGGTTTGACGCGGCATCTTTCTTCGCGCTCCACGACTTTGACGCCGACGGCAACTGGGAGGGCGAGGAAATCCTGCGGACGTACGGGCTGATGGACGAGTCGAACAAGGATGTGCCGGAACAGCGTCGGGTGCAGATCGTGCAGGAGATCTTGGGGCTGATCGACACCAACCGCGACGGCCGCATCAGCCGCGACGAGTTTGTGCGCTTCATCGAGACCGACGGCAAGACGCTGCCAGATATGGGCACGGGGCCCGGCCACCACGGCGACGACGAGTACGAGTACGAGATTCACCATTGGGAGAAGTGAGTTTATTTCATACTGTAGCCCCGGATGGCTGGATGACTGGGAGACGCTGACGGAGGCAAAGATACCACGACGAGAACACGAAGCTCGAAGACCTCACGCACCCCGAGGACATTGAGCACTTTAAGAAGCACGAGCAGATGGAAGCCGAGCAAGAAAGATTGGAGAAAATGAGCAAACAGAGCATCATCGAGTCCAACATCCCGTCCAAGTTCCGGCGGGGGAATTAAGGAGGCCTGTCCGCCGCGGCGGGGTAATGGGTAAAAAACAAACATAAACACAACCGACTTATACATAATGGTAATGACCCCAGCTGGCACCTCCAGCTATGGCACCGACGTAATCTATGCCTCGACACCAGATCTAGTAGTAATAAACACATCAAACACGCAGTGCCAGACCCCCGGCGCATACGTCTTGACCAGCTCAACGTGTTCCACCACGGCCATCTTTCTTCTTTCCTGCTGTTCCTCCTCCGCTCCCCACCGATCAAACATCCCCTGGACCTCCCCCCTCCGCGCTTCAATATCTGCCACGCCAATATTCTCATGAAGATGCAGCCACCCCTCCCCGCCCAGCACCATGCCCCACGCATCCCTCCAGACAGGCTCGCTGGTGGGCAGAAACCCGCAATTCACATGCACCACCTCCAACACCCCACCCCCCTCCCTAAACACCGCGCACCCGCCCAGCCGCATGCCGATTATCCTCCAGGAACACCACGATCTGCTCCCCACCGCCCATAGCCTCGGCCATATCCACCCCACCAACCCCTCCCGCTGCGAGATCATCACCATCACCATCTCTAGAAGATCCAGACACGACAACACGCACCGAGAACCCGTTGGCCGCCGCCCCGCGCCGCAGGCCCTCGACGCTCCACGCGTTGAGCTCCCAGCACAGCACCCGCAGGCCGAGGCGGGCGAGCGGGAAGGCGAAGTAGCCGATGCCGGCGTAGAGGTCGAGGGCGTGTTTGTTGTTTTTAGCAATTTTACTTTTTGTGGCTGCTGTGGTGGTGGTTGTTGGTGGTGGTGGTTGGGGGGTGGGATTTGGTTTGCGGGTATCGTGGAAAGACAGCAGCCGCGCCTTCTCCTTGACGTTGCCCCGGCTGAACATGGTGTGGGTCGGCGCCCAGACCTGCACCAGGCCGTTCTGCTTGGTGGTTACCCAGAGGGCGGCGTCGAAGTCGGCTTGGGAGGGCCTGGTCGGTGTGGATGAGGGGGGTGGACCGAAGTCGCCGTGGAGGGGGTGCAGGTGCGTGGGGGAGCGGAGGACGTTCTCGTCGTCGTCGTCGTCCCTTTTATGGGGCTCCTTTTGTTGTCCGCTAGGGCTGTCCCCGTAGGTGGTTGATGAACCGGAGCCAAGGTGTAACGGGATGCCCTCGTTGATCGCCAAGTGAGTTAATGGCGGTTTGTTGGCGGGTGATATGTGGCGGAGGATGGCGGTCCAGAGGGGTTCTTTTTGTGAGGGCCTCAACGAGGACAGAAGGGCCGGCCATGGTTGGGTGCTGAAACTGCCGCTCGGTAACAACACCATGGGCTCGTAGACTACCCAGCGTTTCGGGGCGCCGGATAAGAGCACATCCTTAATGTTACTGGTGCTGGTGTGGTCATTGTTGGGCCCTGCAATGGATTGGAGGAGTGGAGGAGAAAGGGATTCTAGCCACGAATGGACGGCAGCTTGAATCGGGTTTTGTTTTTGCTTTGGCTTTGGAGGTCGTGCCATCATATCGTCGTGAGGTCACGGAATAGAAAGGATCCCAGGGGGCTCAGAAGAAGATGGATCCTGCCCCGCAAAATCGAGCAATGGATGGAAAAGTCCCAGATCCAGCATTGGATATTTCGTCTGATACAACGTCTACCTTCGTAACTATCCCTAAACGCCACTGGTCGCATGGGGTCAATCCCAAATACCTCAGCCAGTTCTGGGCGACGTGAAAGGTGAAGGTCTGGCGAGGGCTCGCACCCCATTCCCTTCACATGTCCTAAACTCGCTGAATTAGTCATTCAAAGCCCGATTAGCTCAGCTGGTTAGAGCGTCGTACTAATACCGGTTCCACCTGTATATGGTATGCGAAGGTCAACAGTTCAATCCTGTTATTGGGCATCGATATCTTTTGCTTCACGGCATGTTTTTTGCAGCACGAATCATCATTATGTAGGAACTTTACAACATCCCTCAACGCACCAACTCCACAGCCCCCTACCGCCCCTTCTTCCCTTGAGCCCTCGCCTTCTCAACCACCAGATCAAACCTCTTAAACGCCATAGCCCCCTCAATAAACACACTCACCACCCACTTCCACCACACCGCACTCCCCCTCCTCACCCCGAACCTCCGCAGCCTCGTCCTCTCCAACAACCACGTCTCAAACACATGCAGCGCCACCACCGGCACAAAGATGGCCTCCACCAGCCACGTAAACCCGCCCACCCCGCCGGGGAACCACATCCCCTCCACCACCCGCGCCGCCACACTCCCCTCCGCAAACCACCCCCTCCACACAAGCCCATAACACAGATAATACCCCAGCACCGCCACAAAAATAGCCAAATCATACGGCACCCTCGGCGCCATATACTCATCCACCACCACCACCACCCCATCCCCATCCCCCCCATCAGGAGGAGGAACAACCACCCCCAACGCCTCCCTCGCCACCCGCGTCATCTCCACCAACCGCCCCCTCCGCTCCCCCCACCCCTCCAACGGCGGCTCAAACACCACGCGATGCAGCCCGTCGCGCCCGGGCAGCTGGAGCGTGAGGGAGTGCAAGTCGATGTCGGTCATGAGCGGGTTCTTCTTGCCATCGTCCGTGGAGGAGGAGGTGGTGTAGTAGGAGGGTGGGATGGGGGGCACGGCGCCGTAGTGCTGGAGGATGTGGCGCAGGTCGGTGCGGTGGTCGGTGTTCATGTGGGCGATGGTGCGGGCTTTTTGGGCGGGGGGGATGGCGGTGGTTTGGTCGTTGTTGCTGTTGGGGGTGGCCATTGTGTGTGGTTGTGGGTTGATTTGTTTGAGGTTGGGAGATTTGGATGTGGGACTGTTTTGCTGTGGGTGTAGTGGGTAGAAGGGATGTGTGTTGTTCTGTTCTGATGAAGCGAGATAGAGTGAGAGGAAGGGGGAAGAAAGTGATGCTTTGACGATGAAATGATGCGAGATGGATAAATAACTAAACCGAGGCTGATTTTGACTTGATTGCCAAGACAGCAAGGGCACCCAGGTCGCACAGTGGGGACGGAAGGGGATCATCACATGGCATGACGCTCCTCAATATGCCAATACGCTGTACACTCCGATGGGCGAATGAATGGTTACCTGGTTAGTAGGGGCGGATGGTTGCAGTAACACCTTCTGTCCCGACGAGAACGCACCGATATAGACAGGGATCTGGTAGGGATGCAGTCCCAACCATGGTCCACCACCGCCCAATGGACCGTAACACAAAAGATATTCGAATTATTCCTGACCGTAACTACAAGCAACCAAATCGAGTGAGGATGTGGGTATACGGAATACACTATACAACTTTTAAACCTCGCCCATAGCGCCATCGCCAACACCAGCCACAAACCACAAACCACAACCCAGCCAAAACACCGCCAAGTGCGGTCACCCATTACCAACCAACCCATCACGGCATCATGGCGTCCCAGTCGAACGTGCCGCTGCCCCAGAGCTCGTTCAGGTTGAAGCCCAGGGTCTCGAGGTTAAATTCCGAGTGCAAGGGCGGCATCTGGGGAACAAGATCAGCTCGAGCCGCCGCCTCCGAGTCACCGCTGTAGAGACCAACCTGCGGGATGGTGGACGGGTCCGCCGCGTTGGGCAGCCACCACGGCGTGCCAGGGACCTCGATCTGCTGGCCGGCACCCTGCTGGGACGACGACGGCGCAAAGGGCGTGACAGACTGCATCACCGGCGTTGTTAGCATCCACTCTAACCCCGCAACCCCAGTTCCAGGAACAAAAACACAAACCTTAGACCTCACAAACACATCCGCCGGCGACGGCCCCGGCCCCGGCCCCGGCCCCGCCCCGGCCGCGTACGCCCCTACACCCCCCATCCCACTGAACGGCGTGCCCACCACCGCCCGGCCCTGCTCACTCGCCGCCGCCGCACCGGTCTGCCCACCGCCACCACAACACCCACCCGCATTCCCACCACTACTACTCGGCGGCCCCGCCCCACCACCACCACCACCACCACCCCCCACACTCTGCTGACTCCCGCCCGGCGCCGCCAGCGGCAGCGGCAACGACGGCGGGGGCGGATCCTGCCCAGCCAGCAACTTCCAATGCAAATGGACGAATCTCTCGGCGCTGGCGGCCTTGGCGGCCTCGGGGGTCTTGGTGCCCAGGTGGGCCTCGAGCAGGCCAAAGGCGGCGCACATGATGCTGTAGCCCCAGGGCTCGTTGTTGCCGCAGCGTAGGATGCGGTCCTCCTTCATGGCGAGGCAGCGCTCGAGCAGCTGCAGGGTGTGCTGCGAGTTGATCATGATCATGTTGGTGCTGCCGCGGGGCTGCAGCATGGTCACGCTGCTGAGGTTGATTGCCAGCGTGAGGCTGTCCTCGCGCAGGAAGTTGAGCGTGCGGATCCCCTGCTGCGCGAGCCGGTCGTTGAGGAGTACCATGTCGCGCGCCGCGTTGTAGTAGATGATTTCGGAGTATTGGTATTTGGAGTTGGCTTTGCGGAGGCGGAGGAAGGGCTGGTGGAGGGGGATGATGTACTGGCGGAGTTGGATGTGCAGGAGGGTGTAGGCGAGGAGGGGCTTTTTGAGGACGGGGTCTTGGGAGGAGGTGGCGCCGGCGTCGCCGACGTCCCAGGAGGGGAGAGAGTCGATTTCTTGGTTGATTTCGTTGGTGTAGCGGATCACGCGGTCGTAGTCGAGCTCCTCGGGTGGGCCGGTGAGTACGCGGCTGAGTTCCAGGCGGAGGGGGAGGCTGTGGCGGCTGATGTGTTGGTAGGAGGAGAAGGTGTAGTCCGTTGGGGGGTGGGATGGGGGAAGTTCTTTGGTGTCTTCGTCGAACTCGTCATCGTCGATGTTGCGGGGCGGGTTGACGTCGTAGTGGAGGGAGCAGAGGATGGAGGGCAGGCCGTGGTCGAAGGACGCCTGGAGGTCGTAGCTCTGGATGGTGGCCCAGATGCGCCGCCTCATCTCCTGGTTGAAGGGCGAGATCTTGTCGCACATGTGGCTGGGCTCGCGGTGGAGGCCGACCGAGACGGCGTCCTGGGTCATGGAGCCCGCGTTCCTCCAGAAGCGCTTCTTCTTCATGGTGTTGACCCGCTTGGCCAGGTAGATAAGGCAGGCGATCTGGTAGTGGATCAGGCGGCGGTGTTTCTGGCTCTGCTGCTCCTGCCACTCGTCGACGGCCTCGACCCACCGGATGGCGTTCGCGTGCGAGTGCGACACCATCTTCTCGAACTTGTGCGGCATCTGGGCCGCGAGACAGCTCGAGATGCCCATGATGGCCAGGACGAGGGCGGTAAAGGCGGCATTGCGGGTCTCGGACGGCAGCCAGAACTTCGCATAGTCTCTACGGAAGGCGGGGATGTGGACAATGCGGTGGACCTGCTCGAATTGGTCCAGGTAGATGTTTACCAGACTATCTGTTTCCTCCTTGGGAGGGAGCAACGACTCCAGGGAGAGGTCTGGCTCGCGGAACTTGCGCTCCCTCTCCTCGGCGCCCTTGCGGCGGTCCTTGGTCCGGTGGATGTGTAGCGGCCGCAGCCACTCTTCCGAGGTCTCCTTCATGAAGGGACATAGCCCCGTGAGCTGTACAAGATTAGCCGACTGTTACATACGGGGGATATAACCCGGGTAGCATACTTCTTGGAAGGCTAGGAATGCACTATGTGGGCCAAAGTAGCGAGTCTTGAACTCCTTACCCCTGAAAAAGCGGAGTTCTTCCCTGTCGGCGACCGTCTCTTGGGTCTGCAGGAAGGGCGGCACCTCGACCTCGGGCTCGGGCTCGACGTCGGACTTGGGATGGTCCAGCAGGGGGGAGCGGTCTTGGACGGTGCTCCCGTCGAGGGAGACCTGCTTCACCAGCAGGTTCTTGAGCTGGGCCACTTCGAGCTCCAGGCGGCGGATGCGGTCCGATTCGCGGCCATCCTTGCGGAAGTAGGGGGATTCCCCACCGGTGCTCGGCAGCGACAGGCGGGCATCGAGACCCGCCAGAGCGGTCGGCGGAAGGCCGAGCTTGTTCGGCGGTGCCAAGCCGGGCCGGGTCTCGTACTCGCAACGTTCCGGGGTGCCCGACTGCAGGCAGCGGGAGCAGGGGAACTCGCGGTCACACGACAGCTTCCGGCGGCGGCACTCGAGACACGACAACCTCACGCGCTGGCGCTTGCGCGGGGGCGGGCGTCCCTCCTGATCGTCATGAAGGCCGTCGAGGGTATCCAAGTGCGACTCGGTGCCCGCGGGGCTCTCACTGCGCTCGCTCGGCTCCGACATTGTCCCAGCGGAGCTATCGGGCCGGGGGTCGGACTAAGAAGCACGCCACCACGGAGAAGTGGGTGGCAAGGAGACAGGTTTCTCTGTGAGAGACGAGTCTCGGTTCAAGTGGCTCCTAGCGGTTCCAGCGGCTCCAGCGGTTCCAACGGTTCCAACGGATACAAAGGTCCTAAGCGACGGTCGAGTCGGGAGCCGAGTGTTTATCAATCGATCTGATAATAAAAGTCGAGCCAAATGCATCCACCACTCGGCGCCATCGACAATTCGCTCCCTTGACTCATCTAGCAACAATAGCTAGCTGCTTACCATCGAACGTCACACAGCGATGACAAATTAAACAGAAAAAAACCATCAAATCGCCGATTCTCGGATTGCCTCAAAACCAAGGATTGCGAGTCTCTGGCCCCAAGTTATGTTTTGGCAGGTTTTTCTGTGTCATGACTTGGTTCGGAGCGCCGAGCAACCGCCGAGTGAATTGTTTGGAGCATCCTTCAGTGGGGAATTAAATCCGAGATCGCCGAGAGGGGAGGAATTGACGGGAAGAACGTTTCCCTTTTCAATTGTCGTTCGCTGAATGAAGCAAAAAAAGACCAGAACTATTTTCGAAACTACATAATCAGACTCTTCAGTTCTGATTTTTTGGCATCGAATTCTATGATTGTTGAGGAGTAACTTACTATGGTAGGTGCGTTGCGGCAACTGCCTCCAAGTTCAAAGGAAGAAGACAGGAAGTCTCAAGGGGAGGAGGCATCATCCCTCGAGGTACGGGAAGCATGAATTTTTGGGCGGGGAATCACAGAACCTACCTAGACCTCCTCTCTTCTTTCCGCTTCACCTCAATCTTGCGTTTTTTGTTTCTGATGATCACCAAACCTCAGGGCTTCACAACTCACAACCTTGAGCCCCACACCATTCCTGCACGGACCATATGGCCAACCAAATGGAGACGAACGCCAAAGGACATAAGATGGAAGAAAGAAAAAGATCAAACGAATAAAAGGGAAAGGGCCTTAAATGATACAAAATGAGTAGAAAGAAAGGTAAACCGAGGCCCTCTCAGTCATATCCGTTCTACAATCGAGCATCTACACATAATTGTCCATGTCATCGAGTACACCCTAACCCTGAACGCGCCCTTTGGTAGAAAGAGGAAGTTTGATCTGTGGACTTGATCAACTAACTCCCTCCCTACCTTACTCCCCGGTGAGAGACAATCGAGGAAAGAGTTAGAAGCTAGTACCAACCTCCTCCTCCATTGACCAGAAGAAGAGAACAACTCCGGCTCGATTCATCCCCAATTCCCATTTCTATTTTTGATCCTCACCACAAAGGCAAACCAAACAGGAGCGCGTGACAGAAGCTTGGCAGGGCGTTGCTTGTGGCACAGGACAGGCACCAGACAAAGAAAGACAACCGACAGCAATGCTCCCTGCTCCAGGGCTTGGCATCCCAGCGAAGGCATCCCAACACCTCGCATCAACCCCTCGAGATGTGATGAATCGAAGAAACAATGCAGCGCTTTATTTCCAGCCTCCTCCTGGTGGCATATGTTGGGATTGTGTCCGGCGCGGCAGAATTGACTCGGGGCAAGGTGTTTGACCGCTTCATCACCATTTGGCTCGAAAACCAAGTGCGTCGTCCAACCAACAGCGCAACACTGACTTATTTGCATTCACCACGCTGACCACACAATCGTACTTGCTAGGACTACGCCAAGGTCGTTGTCGACAGCAGCATCGCCGATCTGAAGCGCCAGGGCATTCTGTTGACCAGATACTACGCCCATACCCACCCTAGCCAGCCTGAATTACTTCGCTGCCATCCGCCGGCGACTACTTCGGCAACAATCACGACGACAGGCTTCCGCCTGCCCGAGAATGTTGCAACCGTGGTCGACCTGGCTCGAAGGACAAGAACGTGAAATGAGCTGGGCTTCCTTGGAGGATGTGTCGGGACCCGGCTACATGAGGCAATGCCAGCGACGAGTCGACTGGCACTGACAGATGGGACTATGTCAGGAAGCACAAGTGAGTCATACCTTTGATCCCATGCCTAAAAAGATATGCACCCCAAGTCCACATTACTAACCCTCGCGCAGCCCATTTGTGACCTACGACAGCGTCACCAACCAGGGGGAGCGGCTACTAAGGCTTGAGTCCTTCGACGACTTCCAACGGGCATTCGCTGCCAAGCAGGTGCCGCAATTCGTCTTCATGACGCCCAACATGATGAACGACGGCCACAACACGACACTTGATTTTGCTACGAAGTGGTCGCACAAGTTCCTCCAGCCGTTGCTCGCCGATAAGGCCTTCAACGAGCGGACGCTGATCTCGCTCACCTACGACGAGTCGGAGACGTACACCGAGCCCAACCACATCGTCACCCTGCTCCTGGGCAGCGCCATCCCGCCCGCCCTCAAGGGCTCCCAGGATGACACCTTCTACACCCACTACAGCATGCTGTCCACCCTGCAAGCAAACTGGGGCCTGCACAACCTGGGGCGGTACGACGTGGGCGCCAACGTCTTCAAGCTCGTCGCCGACAAGGTCGGCTACACGGCGAACAAGGACCCGGAGAATCTGCCTACCGTCAACAACTCGGCCTCCTACCCGGGCGAA